CCAAAATCTACCCTTTTTTCTGAGGGATAATATGATTGTAATTAGATTTGAAGTCCATAGGCCGGTTGATTCAAAACTGAAAAGAGAGAGAGAGAGAGAGAGAGAGAGAGAGAGAGAGAGAAAACAAGATAAATTATAAATTCAATAAGATAAAAAAGTACACAAGAATTGAAATAGAATTGAGTGATTTGTTTATTAAAGTGAAAATATTTGTTCGAAAGAATTTGTAATTGTAACCCTTTACAAGAATATGTTTACTTAAAAAATATACCCTGTTTAAATGAATATGCTTTTCAGATTATGAGAATTGACAAATGTGGTAATTTTTATGAAATAAAAATGATAAATTGTTACTGCCATTTTGTGTCTTATAACTTTGGGTGTTTTGCAAAATCTTGTCATTGGTAGTAGATCCAAGGTTGAGATTTTGTAGGCTTGCATTCTAATATGTTCCGAGGTAACTTTCACTGACTTGTCCCTCGTCTGTTGAGAAGTATACCATATACATGTACATGTACCAAGCAGTTAGGGTCCATGGATGCACATACCAGGAAGAAGGCTGAAGATGCTTGCATAGACAAGGAAGTTATTACATGTAGGAATATTTGTCATTTCATACCAGGGGTCAAGCCACAAATACTTCTTATAACGACTACTGGCTTTAGCTCTCTGTGTATCAATTGGCATTCTGCAGCATACTGTTCTCACTGCTTTTCTGTCTTCCAAGTTACTTGCAGGATTTATGCATTTATAATGATTATAATGATACTGTAGTACTGATGATGATGATGATGATGATGATGATGATGATGATGATGATGATGATAGCTGAACATTGCATTATTGATCCTTGCCTGTTAAATATGTTTTGGTCAACTTTTAACAAACATGTAATACACTCATCTCATGTTGGAGGGAGGAGGGGGCTCACCAAATGTGTACACCAGCTTTTAAGCTGATTATTTTTGTTTTGTTATGTTTGGGGATGGGGGAGGGGGTACCAAGACTGCACAGGAATTAATATGATCTACCTTTATTTATTTATTATTATTATTATTATTATTATTATTATTTATTTCTTTTTATTTTTTATTTATTTATTTATTTATTTTATTTTTTTTTTTTGGGGGGGGGGGGGCATACCAAACTGTTGTGAGCTTTAATCTGATTGAAAATTTTCTGGGGCTTACCGAAAGCTGTACATGAGCTTTAATTTGATTTGTCTTTGTGATTCCTTTCATTATTCACGCTCTGATTGTCGATTTCCTGATGGTTATCATGTACTTGTAGGCCTAATCATTTAAACCAACTTCCTTGTTAGCACTGCATATTCTGTAATCTCTGTTGCAGTATATATCATACAACATGATACATGCATCTACATGTAGACCTACCCTCATTTTATGTTGACAGAAATCTACAAAATACTGCATACCATTAGTCTGCAGTAACAGACTCTATTTAACACTCTAAACACAATTCCACAAAGCCTCTGGCCTAGCCTAACCTTGTCTGTCTCAGGTTATGTCAAATGATCCGCCAAAGTACAGGGCCTCTATGTAGGGGGTGCAGACTATTGATTTCTTGTTCAGAGTCCTGTTTCATAAGACCCGGTAACAATAGCAAGTTATAACTATTATAAGCTACTGAAATCATGCCATTTCATTGGCTGAGTGCAAACTTGTCTTTAAAGGTATTACGAAGTTTTGGTATGGGGTCATGGATTTGGTTCAAATGAACATATTTGGAAGCATATGCGACCCTACAATATTCGGTGATCGTTGTCGCGGTTGAAATCGAGTCTAAAGTTATGAAATTGTAAATAATAAACTCGTTATGTTGTATAGCTCCCTCTCAAGGTCAAGATATTAATAAAGCTATAAAACAATGTTTTTTGACAAAAATCGACCGATTTACTATTCTCTTTTGAAAATTATATATCACAACTACATATTCTGAGATTTTCATGGTCGCAGCTACCATTGCACGGCCGTAGGCGCTAATTGAAATTTATCAACATTTACCGGGAGCACCGGTAAATTTTTATATTCATTTTTTCTCGAAAGCAGAAGTGCTTTAGGGGCTAAATTTCCAATGTTATAATATATCCACAGGGGCATCCAAATTTATAAAAATTGTGATATTCACTATGATATCCACCCAATTTTCAAAATTTCCCAAAACTTTGTATTACCTTTAATAGAAATTTAGCATTTTTTAATGATAACAAGTTTTATGAAACATGGCCCTGACCCTGCAAACTATTCCAACACATTTTGTACACATGACTACATGTACACTGTACTGTACATCCTGCACAGTAATTATATATTTTATTGCGTGGTTGATGGCAATTCCGATGACAGGGATTCCTGCTTGCATTCCAACATAATTGCAATGACGACCTTCGTCATTGCCTTGTTTTCGTTCACATTCTGCCCCATTAATATTCTCCTTTTCCTTTTCCTTTTCCTTATCCTTATCCTTATCGTCAGGAAATCGCATTCGTTTTGCACGTAGTGTTTGTGATTCCTAGTTAGGTGCTTTCCTCATGTCCTTTTCCTTTCAAATTTCATAGGCATAGTCTGTAACATCTCATCAAGGTCACTACATTCTTCGATTTTGGAAATCACTCATGCATGACCGTCCAGGCGCCATTTTGTCCGTTTCTGGTCCATTTTAAGGCCTTTATATCTTCCTTCCTATCTCCACTATCCTTCATCCTACAAACTTCTAACAAATTCCTCTAGATAGTCTGAGAGATGTTCTTTCATCTGCGACAAATGACTTGACCTTCAAAATGCCATCTTGATACTCGAAATTCAAATCTAAAACCGACTCCGTCAAAAACCTCTCAAGTTCTTGAAAAATGGACCCCTAAATAATCTAAAACTGCCATAACTTTCTCATATAAATTCCGTTTTGTATTTAAATCTCACAGTATCTTTATCTCATAATTGCACATAGCCATGCTAAATTTCACGCTCCAATGGCTTTGCACAACATAAATAGCGCCCTCTAAAGTTCTGGGAATTGGCTTTCTCTCTGTGGCCGTATCTCCATAATGGCTTAGCAAACCCGTACCCTTTTTTGGATTTAGATACTTGAAGATATGCCCTTTGAAGCCATATACAAAATTATATACCCTTACACTGACCAAATTCGAGAAAAATGCCCTCCAAATTTGCCATTTTCGAGAAAATTCCAAAATAACTTCAACTTGCTTTAAAATGGCGATCTTTATACCTATATCAATGAAACTTGGCAGATATATGTATCCATATACGTGACAACTATTTGCCAAGGTTGGTAACATTCGAATATGTCAGCGCAAAGTTATCGCCAAAAATGATGAATTTACTATGCATTACGTAATAGCGCGTTTAATGCGTGCAATACATTGCGCGCAGATAACAATGGTGTCAAACTGACCGCAATGAAGTGCCCTTTCGAATGATACCAAGTATAGTATATGTTCACACAGAAAATTGTGAGTAAATCGCATTTGAACAAAGGTCACTACACGAATTCCGCAGAGTTTCCGCCCGAATCTAACACGTAAGGGCTATGACGTCATTTTTTCAGACTGCTTTTCGCCCCTTAAACGTCCTTTTTTTTCCTTGAAAATTTGCAGTGACATGCCGAGTTTCAATACGCAGGGCACCTCTTGGCCGGATTTTTAAAATTGGTCAATGGGGCCATTTAAGACGCTATTTTGTCTTATAAATCTATTTTACATCACGTGTTTCGATAGGATTATCATAGAAAAAAAGTGAGTGGTTTACAATAACAATCATGAAATTCTCTTTCTAATGATACCAAATACGGCCCATAAGAAGACATAAAGAGAGAGAGAAAAAACAATTTAACTCCGGTCATAATACAGATCCTCTACGTTTTCCGCTCATGCATTACACGCATTGTCTATGGGGCATATCGGGTTCACGCTTTTGACCCCCAGAACGATCTGTATTGCAATGACGAACATGCACCAAATCCCCTTGGTTTTTGCACGCAGTGCTTGCGAGCCCTTTCTACGTCCTTTCCCCTATCCCAATTTCTTTCAAACTTCGTAGGCATATAGTCACTACCATCCCATCAAGGTCACTGTTGAGGCCTTTCTCTCGCCCTACCTATCTCTAACATCACAGAAGCTACAGACTTCGTACAAATCGCTCTGGATAGTCCGAGAGAAGCTCTTTCGTTTGACACGTAAAAACATGGCGTCATTGCACGCACATCGTTGTGACACGATTGCATTTCTAGTGTATATTACATTCTTCCTGAAAACTGGCCCTGGATGCTCCTGGTATTAGTCATCAGGAGTCGATATGAAAATTGCACATTTGAAATAATTGGCATCACTGTTTGATTGTGTAAAGAACGACAGGGCGATGTGATGTAATATATTTACATAATGAAATCACATGTGTTTATTGATTGTGAATGTCTAGACATTTATACATGTACATGTAGATAAAAAAGTACTTCATTTTGTATTGCTTAATTATCAAAAGTGAACTTCATACTTGTAAAATTATCAATGCAGTGCATCAAATTAAGAGATGAATATTGAGATGGGTTGTTGAGCTCTTCAACGCTACATAATAGTATATGTCAGATTTATAAATAAAATCTGAGAGGAAACTCTTATTGTTTGCTGATTTTTTTTGAATTTCACCAATCCGCTTCTCTAATTTCTTTGCATTCTTTCAGACCAATTTGCTATTGAGGTTGAATTTCGTTTTTTTTATAACTTGCAATATTTATTCATATTTGAAGCTCAAATTTTTAGTGAAGTATATTGAATTGAAATGATTCCCTAACATTCAGAGCAGAACAGTTTTAGCTGATTGGTACTACATGAAGCTGTACATGTACATGTACATGTACACTTTGAAAATACCCCATAGTGGACTGTTACTTATTTACATTTACAGTACATGTACAATGAAGAGTAACAGGGAACTATTTTTTTCTTTTGTTTTTGTCACTGACAGCAACCATACTAGTCTTCCAAGATGGCGACCGATGCACTCAACCTAGTTCAGCAGCTGAAGCAAGAGACGGGGAATCTCAGGACACTTGCAGACACCGTCAGCAAGGCCGAACTCACCAAGGAGTTTGGGAGCGTTCTCGAAGAAGTGATCTCCACCTTGAACTCTGTTAACAAAGATCTTTGTGTGGGTGAGTTGAAAGGTCACCGCTCACTTAGCAATCTGACCAAAGGGATTTCTTTCAGGGCAGGATTTTACGAGGCTTAAAGCCCCACTGCACTACTTATAGCTACTTGCGCCCTCTATATAACAAACAATGCCTAAGCGGTGACCATTGGTCCCCCATGATCCCCTTTTTCTTATGTTAATTGAGAGCTGATTTGATGTGATTTCACCAACTGTCAGTGAACTTGCAGGGAGGTCTAATCCCCCCTGGCCAAACTAGTGCAGATGGGCATTAAGTTGATCACATGTTCTTCTTAAAATGAGCAACAATTATATTTTTGTTTGCTATATTTTTCAAATAAATGTCTTTGAAACAATATACATACATGTAGGAATGAATGAAACAATCATTAAATCAAACATGGACAGCTTACAACCAAACGCAAGTAAACAAAACAAAATTTAATAATTAATACAGACAATAAAGAATGAAGAATTACCAGCTTTAGGTATTTAGGAAAAGAAGAGTGAAATGTGTACAATAAATGGGAAATTAAGCAGTAGTCACAACTTGTAGAACTAAACAGTATACAATTTTCTTTCCCTTTTTTTGTTGTTGCCAGGTTCATCTGTTTTTGTCCAAGAATATGATGACCTCATTAATGGTGCAGTTGCTAATTTCATCACAATCAGCAACAAACTTGGTGGTGATATTGCAGAGGAGGTATGGAAATCTTTATTCAAGTTTAGGGAATATTGATAACTTACATTTCTCCTGGGGTAGGAGAGTAATTTCCTTGTAACTTAAAGATGCTCATGCATGGGTACATGTATATAGTCGTTCGTGAAGTAGGCAACTTGGCGAACACTGAGCCAACGGGTATTACGCTCCCGTATGGAAGTAGGCATAAAGGGACACTAGTACGCACGGGAGCGTAATACCTGTTGGCTAAGTGTGCTGCCCTCTATATTCCCACGCATGGGCAACTTTAAAATTATAATTAATTGTCCACATTTTTGGAATTCAAAGCCTGGGCATTGTTGAAGAAAGGGAGGGATATAGCATCCCCATTTAAAGTTTAATTTGAACAATTCTGTTATTGATGTCAGCAGTAGTGTGGGTTACTTGTTGTTTTTCTGAAGGTTCTTTATCCTAAAGGGTTTAATTCAGAAGGTTTGTTACTCTGAAGGTCCATAATTCTGAAAATGGCAAACATAGAGAATACCGGTACTTCTGTTTTTCAGAATTAAGAACCTTAGGAGTTAGGAATACTGAGCCTTATTTCATTTTCGGAATAATGAACCCCTTTTAACTTTTAGAATTATGACCCTTTGCATAATCTAACCTTCAGAATAACGCAATAAATGTTCAGAATAATAATTCTTATTTATATTTGGAATAATAAGCCCCCTGGTATGGGAATATTGTGTTTCAGAATTATGAACCTTTTGAAAAATGAGTGCCTCCCATATTGTAACATTTATTTGGATATTTCTTTCTAAATCTTGAACTATTCATGACATCAACAAGTGTTGCATGTACATTTACGTTTTATTTGACTTGATAAACTTTATTTGTTTTTTGTACAGGCGGCCTTGTTGCAACAAGCTTTCCAGGCCCAGCGAGCATTCATTGCAGTGGTAGCAGAATCAAAGACACCAACTGCGGTAATACATTCTTTGTTTAAAGCCCCTATCAGGGATTTGCAAGCCCTCAGAAACATATCTCAAAATGTATCTGTAGCAGCAAGATGAGTGTTTGAAAGTATGAGTTTATGAAAGTATTAGCAAAATTTCATATAACAATCCCCCTTTCTGGCTCAAAAATAGAAAATGTGTAATATATATGTACCTACATTTAGATGTATATTGTGCAAATATATGTGCATTTACATGTATCCAAATGATCAATGATCTAATTCATCTAATTATCTAAATGGCTCATTTAAATCATTACTTCATTGTTGTAGGTTATGTCATAACAAAACTTTCCCTGTTGTACGCACTGCTTGAGTTTGATGAATTTCTGATATCTTAGGCGGTCTTGACAGAGCTTCTGAAGCCAACTTCTGAAAAAATGTGTGAGATCCAGGAATATCGGGATAAGAGAAGGTCTTCCAAGTTCTTCAACCATTTCTCAGCCATCAGTGAGGGTGCCCCGATGCTTGGATGGGTGACTGTGGTAAGTGGAACGGATTGGGAGGAGGAGGGGGAGGAGGAGGAGGGGGAGGAGGAGGAGGGGGAGGGGAAGGGGGAGGGGGAAGGGGAGGGGGGGGGGGGGTAGGGAGGGAGGGAGGGAGGAGTGAGAGAGGGTGATGATGATGATAGTAATGAGCATTGTGATGATAATTATGAAGGTAGTAATGATGATGATGGTGATGATAATGATGATGATGGGGATAATGATGAGGATGATGATTGTAATGATGATGGTGAGCATGATGATGATGATGATGATGATGATGGTGAGCATGATGATGATGATGATGATGACAGTTATGCCCTAATGCTTGGATGGGTGTCTGGTAATTGAGCAAGGGAGATAGAGGAAAGGATGATGGCGATGGCGATGATAAAGACGATGATGAGGATGATGATTACAGCTAACAATGTCTGAAACTTTTTTTTTTTTAAATGACAACATCTAGACTCCAGAAGACATATATGTATACTGTAGTATAAATCAATGATTAACTTTGTTCATAAATACTTTCATATTTAAACCTCCAATAGTTGGAACAACTGTATATATATTTTTTTTTAATGAAAAGAAAAGAAAACTTCCAGAAGAAAGATGCAATTTTGAACCGATTTACATGTATGTGAGAGTGAGTAGATTTTAAAGTTATTATAAAATTAAGAGAGAGAGAAAACAGAATTTTGATAATATATACATGTACCATGATTAGAATGAGAAGTGACAAAAAACCCATCTTGCTATATTTCAGAATATGATGTCATTTATATTCTTTTATCTTGACAGCCCAACACGCCAGCACCATACGTCAACTCTATGGTCTGCTCAGCCACGTTTTATACCAACAGAATTCTCAAAGAATACAGGGAAACGTAAGTCTCCTTATTGTAACTGTATTATATTAGCGTTTTGTACTGAATTTGATACAGATAAGGTTGCCCCCTAGTAAAGCTGAAAATTGAAATAAATTGAGGATAAAATGATATTTTATGTATCCACCTATATATAATGGTAGTATTTTTTCTTTCATAAACATGGAAAAGGGTACATATATTTTACAGGCCTTAAATTTCAATATTTTTAGGTCAAGGCCACTTTTCTGTAGGGCACATTCCTATATTACAGCACAAATATGAAGAATGGGAAAGGGCACACAAAATCTCCAAGGCCAATGAGAGGGGCATTGAGGCCAATCAAAGGGGCATCCAAGGCCATGGCCTTGGTGGCCTTGGATTAATTTAAACCCTGTTTTTAAAACTCTGTTATATAAGATGAGTAGCTATGAATACAAAATAGTTATCTAAAATATCACTTTCTTGGTAATGAAAAGGGAAAATACTTTTATTACATACATCTCGGTGGATACCAAAAATACCCCTTTCAGACAAAGGCACAAAGAAATCAGATTTGTGAGGGAAAAATTAGAAAATTTTATATATTAAAATCTTACACCAATATTGGTAGATAGGGGTCCTATGATGTCACAGCCTCAGTTGCTAATTTGTCGCCATGTGAAAGCAATCTTTATATCATTGAAATGTTTGTCATTTTTTTATTAGTTGTCTGATTTTCCTCGAACCTTTGTTGACCACTTTCTCTGATTTTTTTGTGTATGTTTTTTTTTTAAAGCAATTTATTTAGGGATTACTTTTTACATTTAACTGATAGTAGTTCAGTGTCTCCTCTTAGTGAAATTTTAAACTATTTTGATCCAGACTTCTAAGAATTAGGTGTTGTGCATGAGCAGAAAGCACAGACAATTTTACAATTCTTGATTTTACATTTCCAATGCTGTACATAGTGCCGTTCATGAACAAGAAAGATTTAATTGTATGTAATCATTACAGTATATAAAATTGGCAATGCGGTGTAGAATTTTTATATCACAATTTCTGTGTAAATAATGGCAAATTTGTTGATGAATTTAATAATGTTGATTCCCATTGGTTAAATTTATGTAATTTTATATGTTTTATTTGTTGGATTATTTAGGAGTGCAAAAATAAGAATAATTGGTGCCAATTTGAGGAGGAAAAGACTTATTTATTTAAACCTTTAAGGTAAAGACCAGTTTTGGAAAACGCCCCAATTTCATAAAATGAAATTGAAGCTCTTATTACCAATCATGTGAAAGAATATGTTTTGACTAAATACATGATGATACAAATTTTGCTGGGAAACTGCCTACTAATTGATATATTTGGTAAATTAGTTTATCTATTGGCCTGTGAGAGATAAACGCACGTGTCGCGCACGTGTGCGTAGTCCCTTATACATCTTTCTGTGTACAGTGCTTGTAACTTTACTAAGACTGGGTCAAATTTCTTATCATTTTGATGATTCCAGAACCTTGCAGTACACACCAATACTTGTATACTACATGATGAACCTTTTGTGATCAAGTCCACAACGTTTCTTTCACAATGCAATTGCATGACCATAACTGGTCTTTATCTTTAAGATATGTGTAAACAGCTATGGGTAAAACAAACTTTCCCCTTTGTGATCACAGAGATGCCACGCATGTTGATTGGACAAAAGGACTTGTCAAGGTCATCCAGGAGCTAGAGGAGTATGTCAAGAAACACCATCTTACCGGTGTCTCCTGGAACAGGCAGGTGAGTTCCTGGTCCTCAGAGAGGAGAGCCTGGCTCTGCTTCACTAGTCCTGCTCTAGTGACCACTCATCCATAAAATCTCAATTTTAATTTCTTTTGACCAGAGTTTCTCATTGAAACCTTTAAGATCCCATACTTAAAGACCACCTGCCTCTAAAGACTGCTTTTCTTGTCTTCCCCCAATGGTCTTATGGTATATATGTCATTCAGTGCTACAAAAGGCTAGCTAAAGGCAATCAAAAAAATTAACATACAATACATGAGAACATTTGAGGTACATGAATACCATATTGCTCTCCAATCATGGGTTTATCTTTAATAGTCTACTCAATCAACTGTTTGTAGTGTCGGGTTAAGGTTAGATCATTGATTTTCAGTGTTCCTTAGATGGTTTGTCCAGCCAGACCTAATCTGAACATGAATCTCTTTCTTGATTCTAATTGATATCACTGATATTTGTTATAAATGTAATGCTTCCTTGGAGAAGTTTAAATTGTTTAAATATATTTGTGGCTTACACCCAGTAAATAAAGATCGATTGATCGATCTTTCTGACTTGTTTTTAATTACAGATCGATCAATCAATTTTTATTTACTGGGTGTAAGCCACAAATATGTTCAAACAATCACTGATATTGTTGTAGCTGCTATCTATTCATCTATCTTATCATTGCATTTTTACATTACCCTTGGTCAACTCTCTTATATCCCATACTCTCAGGGCAAGGATGCCAGTGTACCAGCTGCAGGAGCAGCTCCACCACCACCAGCCCCTGCTGGTGGTGCCCCTCCCCCACCACCACCCCCAGTCGTTGCACCCCCGTCCGGTCCTGCTGCTCCAGCTTCAGAAGATGACTCAAGGGGTGCTCTCTTTGCTGCGCTTAACCAAGGAGAAGCTGTTACAAGCGGTAAGTTGTGCCAAAACCTCTCTTCTTTTTTTTGCTTTACGTTTTGAACAGAAGTCTCATTGATTGCAATGCTATATAACCTTGACCCTAACAAGATAGCAAGATTCCGCAGTATTGTGTTAGGCGCTTTGGGAATCCCTTGGGATGGAATGTGCACAATATAATTGTTGGTATTTTTCTTCATATTATTATTATTAATACTATTACTCCTGTTATTACTATTATTATGATAAGTATTTTAGCTAGCGATTATAACTGTACCCCTTTTTTAGTAAAGCTAGATTAAAATTGTCTTGTGAAAATGAAAGTGGTCAAATCTTGCTCTGATAAACCTGATAAGTGACTTTCCAAAAGACGTTTTGATTTGATTTTTTGTTTCATAGCTCACTTGGCATTCTATGTCTCCCTTGGGCATAAATCTCTAAAGGCATCAGCTGTTATTCGGAGAAGAAAAAAACAAACTACCCAATTTTAGTGAAAATTACATTATATGACATCCAAATTCTTGACAGGGTTTTGGCACAGGAAGGGTTAATGCCATTCTTGTTGTTTTCAAATACTAAGGGTTAAAGAAGGTGACCAATGACATGAAGACCCACAAGAACCCTGAGCTGAGGAAGCAAGTCAAGCCTGTATCCTCCTCCCCCAAGCCCTACAAGGCCCCTGCTGCGGTCAAGTCTGTAGCCGCTGCCAAACCAGCCCAGGTCAAGAAACCAGCCAGCACTCAGCTGAATATGAAGAGATGGGATGTGGTAAGTGATCAACAGGTGTAATGTTATGCAGGAAAAACTTCTGTGATGTATACACTAACTGGTGTGTAACAATGGTTAGGTTAATGACATATCGTATATCTCTGTGTATAAGACACACCTGTGTATAAGACACAAAAGTAAGATAAGGTTGGTTATTATAAAGGTGTGTATTGGGAGGAAAATGATGCAGGTTTCTATTTCATTTCGAAATTACAAACCCTATTGAATTCAGGACTATGAACTCAATTTTATTATTCTGACCTACAAACCTTCAGAATTATGAACCTTTGGAGTGAGGAACTTTTGGAATATCAAATCTCTGGAGTGCAACCCACCGAAAAATGACATGTAACCCATACATGTAGTTAGGAACTGAGCAATTCGTTGGTTAATATAGGCCTTAATAGCAGTTTAATCTAAAGCAAGGACAAAAAAGAATTCCAATGCATAGTAAAGACTCATTCAGATATGGTATGGTAAACCACTGCAACAACAAAAAGTTGCCACATTTCATTTTTTTGGTAATGTGTAAATAAATGGCAACTGCGCACAACAAAGGTCCTGCACGTATTTACTGAGCTATGTGTTACAAGATACACAAACGTGAAGTGTCATCATTTAAAAAAAAATATCGCTGTGGTTTTGGAGCGTCTTATCTGAAGGAGGCTTTGGAGTGCAGAAAACTGGTCAGTTGGTAAGCCACAATAGCAATGTGAGCTTTCTTAACCAAGGGGCAAGAAGCAGGATGAAATTTTCATTTGGTGCATAAAAAGATGTTTGTCAATACTTGAGCCTAAAAATTGCTCAGAGGGCGGCTTGGATATTGCATCATCTGTATAGCATAAACTTTATGTGATTATCATCTTCTGTATTTGAATTCAAGTGGATTCCGCACCTTACAGATCTTGTATTCAAAAGTCATTCTTCTATTATCAAACACCTTTGTAAAGCTATTTTCCTGATGCCATAAATTGGTGCGAGTTGGTCCGATGGGCTTTACACAGTGTGTACTCTCATGACTGTAGACATTGCTTCATTTTGTTCAGTCTCATATTATTCCAGGAATCCACACCGTATAGCATTCTTAGTTTATATGATTTCAATCTTGTCTGTGTCTGCCTTGTTTATTTCAGGAATACCATTCGCAAAATCAAAACATTGTTTTGGACGAAGCCAATATGAAGCAGACAGTGTACATCTACAAGTGTGACAACAGCGTCATCAACATCCCCGCAAAAGTCAACTCCATCACTATCGGTATGAACAGCGCATCAGAATGTACATGTATTGTCAATGGGAAGTTCTCATGTAAAGAAGTCTATTCAACTATTTGACTCATTGTTACATCATGTTGGGAAATTGCCTTATCAAAACTTGAACCTTGGCAGTTGACATGGATATTGGGAGTAAAGAAGTGCAAAGTGCAAAAAAAGAGATTATAATAAGATAATGAAATGAAATGAAATGCAAATAAAAAAGATACTAATGAAATTAAATCAATATATAAAGAAATTGCATATTACTGTTTTAATTTTTAGGGAACAAAATTACATTATTGTAATAGAGAGATTTTTCCATTACCAGAATGCACCTTCATCTTTAACTATATACAAAAGAAAGTTTTTTCTTAATTTTGCGACTTGTATGCTGCTACGGTCAGCTTATTGTCTTCACTTACAAATTTACTCTGACAGACTCACTTTCAAAGATGTGATTAATAAATCAATCTGTAAATCCAAATTAGCTGCACAGGCGTGACTCTGTGTACTGATGGTCAATATATTTCAAGGGAGGGACCAAGGAAGTGACCCCAATAAACAGAAAGTAATGACATTTTTGTACATGGCAAATGGGAGAGTTATCCACGTCATACGTCTCAATCCACTGACCAAACTACCAATTTGAGATTGGGGGCCAACTGTTACCCCGGAAGTGAAAGTTCGCCGTGTATAGGAAATTTGGGAAAGATTCACTGTAAATATCCCGCGTGCACGCGACCGGATCTGCGCTGTGACCCCCGGCACGCCCTCCAAATAATCGTTTGTTTACATGCAGAGCGCCACTCTGACAAAATATTGAAAGGTTACAATTTAGGCCGCAGCCGAGCCTGCCACTGTAAACGCACAAAATTGCGGGGCCCTTTTCTCACTGTACAGGGGGTCTTAGTGATCTCTTATTTCAAACATTCATAACTTCCTTACTATTGGTCCGATTAATTTCAAATTTTTGCCATTCTGTGTCTGTTTTTTTCAGCTTTCATTCAAGTCAACTTATTAGAAGGGTTGGATTGCCTTTAATTCTATAATCTTTAACGGTACTATAATAATAATAAATAAATAATAGTGGGTTCTTGTATAGCGCTCATGTCAGTCAGATTTGACCCTCCTGGCGCTCCCGATTATTACCCTGGCTTTAGCACGGCTGCCATACGGCGCTCTAGCATTTGCAGGCCAAAAAAATGAAAAAGTTAAATTTCAACTGCATTTGAAAGATAATACTAATTTAGAACCTCCCTAAAAAAGGTGGGGCTTGAAAATGTAATAAAGTGGGAAAATAATGACTATTGGTTGTCAAATCGACTTTAGGGCTATAGAGCCCAAAAGTAATAGTCTTGATTTTCAGACAATTGTACCGAATGGTCATACGTTTTATGCTGTGCAAAGATTCAATCAGTTTAATCTTGGCCATCACAAGAAGTGGGTTATTGATGTAGACAAATGCTCATGTACCCTTTACAACTCTTTTCATGTATGTTATTACCAAAGAAGAAAAAAAGCCAGTCAGTCACTCAATAGTGTCTGACAGTGAAGTCTAGCAAGTAAACGGGTTTCCTTGCATAATTTGAATATGAGGACACTGCTAACATTTAAATTTCACAGATAGGACATACATGACCTATTCATAATTCCTGCAAAGCTTTCTCATGAGCTGATAATTCTCCTTCTCTAATGCACTCATTTTAGCACTAGCCACTTCATACCTTACATTTTTGCTTTGTTTTAAGATGGATGCAAGAAGGTTGGTGTTGCCTGTGAGAGTGTTCTTGGAGCTCTGGATATTGTCAACTGCCAGAGTATAAAATTACAGGTGAGTTATATACGGCAGGTTTCTACTGGATCCCAAATACTGTTAATCTCCACGCCTTTTTCACACCCATCCAGACTTTTCCAAAAAAGCGTACCTGTCTCCCGAGGTGGATTTGTCCGGGTACGATCATCTTCTCAGTTCTGCTGAAACGTTTCCGGACTTCAGTATTAGCATATAGGTCATGTGACAAAATGCAGTACTACGTGCACTTACCAAGCATACAAGGAACCTGCTAAAGTCCATTTACTGGATTCTGTAGAAACGGCCTGGTTAGATTCCAATAGGGGTTACTTTCCAGGGAGTGTTTCACAAAGACTAAGATCGACTTTAAGTTGGACTTAACTATGACAGGCCATTCATGCCACTGGCTGCTCTAACTATAGATCTCTCAACTATGATCTGTAAATAATATTTTTTTCTTTAATAATGAAAAAAAAAGAAGAAGTAATTCTATAGATTTGTGACCACGAATTAAACGTCCCTTCAGAGACCAATGCCAATAAATGGTAAGAGCAATCAGTGGCATGAACGATCTGCCATAGTTAAGTTCAACTTAAAGTCGATCTTAGTCTTTGTGAAACACCCCCCTGGTCTATTCTTGGTATACGGTACATTACTTTCCAGGTCTCCGGTATAAACACACCAATTGATCAAGGGTGGTATTCTGAAAGCTCTTGTTGCTTTCCTTTTAACTTTCCTATAAAGTCCTCAAGTTAATTAAGCACTTAATAGACCTCTGAATCAGTATTTGGAAAGCAATTAAATCCTGCATCATTAAAATATGCTTCTCCTCTCTTTAGTCCTTTGCCACTAATTAGTCATGCTGTCTCAAAGAAAATGTTGTATACATGCTCTAACTTACATTAAAAAATGTGTAGTACACTGCAGCCTGTGTAGGCCACTGTAATACAAATTCAGAAGACCTTGCTATTATTTGACTTGATTGATTCAAAACATCCACCAAATATTTAAACCTAACATTGAGACTTTGTACTTTGTACCAAAATTAATAAGGTAATTCAAATATGTCATCATTGGAATTGAATGTCGATGAAAATTTCAATAAAAGAGTGCTGTGTCATTAGAAAACAGAGCACTAAAGAGACCTACTAGGTCTTTTTATCTTTTGTGAACGTAATTGATTGCTAACAGAGTTTTCAGAATACCCAAACTTCCTACTTGTTTTTTAGCTACGGCAGATGTGCATCATAGCTCAGGTGCAACTCTCCTCCTTGCAACTCGTAATGGGAGTTATTGAGAGCCAATTGATATTGCAATCTCTGTGTATAAGACGTTTTTTTTGTTTGTTTGTTGTTGTGTTTTTTGTTGTTTTGTTGCCGAAAACCCACGCAGGGAAGAACTTTCATTTAACATGGAGGTGCGCCGATTTGTGCTTGTGAACTTGTCACAAACAATGTCGTTTTTAGAATAATGTGTAAGATCATTACCGGTAAAGTAAATTAAAAACATTATAGTACCTAGGATAGAACCTTGTGGTACGCCGTGTGTAATAGAAGAACAATTTGAGGAATTATTATTATAAACTACATATTGAGATGTATTAGAAAGATTATCAAACCAAGATGACAGACAAATTTGAGTGTTCTAGTTTTCGAGTGGTGAGTCAACACACCGATTACTGAGCTGGGAGACATTGCCAGGCATAGCGCCAGGTGTACCCGTGTATAAGACGCACCCCCGACTTTCAAATGTTTTTCGGCGGCAAAAAAGTTGATGATCTTTCTGTGATAATGGATATCTACACGTGTCGATACCTGACAAGAATGCCAGAATAATTATATTTACAGTTAACAACTATGTGATCCATACCCTTTTTTAAGTATGTGAAACATTGATTGTCCCGATTTATTTTACTTGTGAATGTGACATGTTAAAGCTTAAGCTAAAAGTATTCAGCAAAGCCCTTTCCCAAATTCTATCCCTCTGCGCCTCAGACTAGTTTACTTGATTGATTGCTCATAATAAATGCTGTATTATTATTATTAGCCCTAGATCGACCAGTGCACCTTTCATTCTCGAGTTATGAAGAACACACGAAACATCAAATTTACAATGTGTACGAATAATTCAGTTGTTAATTGTATAAACTCAATTTAAGAAGTCATTTTTATCGCTGTTATTCGTCTTTTCATACAGATCCTTGGCCAGGCTCACATTGTGAACATAGACAAGACAGATGGTTGTATGGTGTACTTGAGTGAGAATTGTAAGGGTGCCGAGATCATCAGCGCCAAGTCGTCTGAGATGAACGTCCTTGTCCCCAATGCTGAGGGAGAATTTGTAAGTCAAAATGCCAGATTGCTCATCTTTTTCCATTGAAGGACGTTCTGCAGTAATGTTCGCGCGCACTTCAGCTGCGGTTTTTGAGAGTTTCTGCGGAACCTCCGTAAAGTTTTATTCCAAGAAAAAAAAATTAATACTGGTAATACTAAGAAAAGAAGAAGAAAGAGAAAGGAAAAAGAAGACAAGAAAATCGAAGCAAAAACATGAGGAAAGCATTTGGGCAATTCCACGGTAACGGAAGGACACTCAGACAAGATTTTTGAACTTCAGGTTCATACTAAAAGAACTGTTTTATTAGTATAAGATGTGAAACAGTACAGATATAATACCTATATAAGTGCCTTTAATTCTCCCCAAAAAAATTGTCATTATAGTTAAGTAGTTTAAGAATGTGCATATTAATTATCTCGGTAACGGAAGGACATAAAAATGGACATGGTTTTTCCAGTTAATTAGTGTTTATCCAAACTTTGTGAAGTTGATGAAGCTTTCCACTTGACTGAAACACATTTTGTTCCCCATAGTTTAATACATACTAATAAAACATTTCTTTTAGTATGAACCTGAAGTTCAAAAATCTTGTCTGAGTGTCCTTCCGTTACCGTGGAATTGCCCATTTCTCCTTAATACTGTTGTAGTATGTAGTCATTATGTAGTAAGAACAAACCCAAACAAATCGGAACGCTAGTGGCGGTCCATTGAAATCTGTCTCTTCAAAGATGCAAACTTGTTTCCTATTTGAAGTAATTACAAATACATTGCTTTATTTGTGTGTTTTACTCTTCTTTCTTTCCTTCCAGACGGAATTCGCTCTTCCAGAGCAGTACAGAAGCGTGTACAGTGAGGAAAAGAAAACCATGGTCACAACCAGTACAGAATCCATGGGATAAACTACGGCTTCTCTTCCATAGTCAAAATCATGAGGCAGATATATTAGTGTAACCCAGTAGCACCAAACAGCCGCAATTAAAAGCGTTCGGTGGTTGCTATGGCAAATTTTATTATGATTTCAAATGCTATATGACTAATTATGAGAAATTTTATGATCACTTATTTCATCCATCACTCGAGTCGGAGACAAATTTGCAAAGAAATGATTGGTTATCAATAAACACATGCTTATGCCATTGTTTGTTATAATCAAATATGTATTTACAGTTGCTTTAAACTGATCACATTATGTTTAGAAGTTTGTGATATTAGCTTTAAAAGTTTTTATTAGTTTCATCTTTTCAATTTACGCAACCTCATTAGTTTCAGTTAGAGATCGCATGGTCATTGAAATCATTGTCATGTTTTTTTAGAAGTATTTTTGTAATATGTTACCATCATTTTATGACTATAAATGTGATTGAAGGCATTTGAATTTATAATCACTTATATGGATAACACAGTATTATTCAATAAAAGATATGTGGTTAATCATAACTTTCTTCATACTGTCCTTAAACATTATGGTGGAGGTTCTCTTGTGATGTGAAAATGATTTAAGATACGGTTTACTGGTAGTACACAAGATCATGAATTACAATATAAGATATTATGATGACCATGTACTTCTTAACAAAATATATATAGGTACTACATGTATGTCTCATGAGAGTATATGTGAAATTAAGTTCATCAAAAAATAAGAGCAGGACTTTATGCTTGTGATGGTAGCCATGACCCAATGTTGAGTTTTATGAGATATATATATTTATATTTATTTTGCCACGTAGTCAAAATTAATGACTTTAATTTGATGTTCAGTAGTGATTCTGTTTAGTTCATCAGCATTCAAAAATGTTTAAGTTGCATGGAGATTTCTGTGAAGTTGTTTTTCATATAAGAGATGAGATGCTACATCACATGGGCTTGGTTTGTTTTTATAAATGATGTTTTAATTAATAGATTTAAAATCATTATTTTAAATGAAGATCGACACATTGCAATATTTTCTGTAATTTCTGTGTGAATGAAAGCACCATGTACAAGTACATGTATGTTTGCCTGAAACATCACCCAAGGTGATAAAAAGGCTTGAACTGGAATTAAATTCAATACTTAGTCAGAAATATGAGTGTTTTATTCAACTTTCAGCTTCGGTAAAAAAAAACTCAGCCAACTTTGGTATCCAGTTGTAAAGTAGTTTACACTCACTTTAAGACAACTCCCTAGCTGACTTAAGCCAATTATTTTTGAGGCCTTGAGTGGCAGGCACATGGGTTTTCATACACAGTCGTCATTCAAGTTAGCTATGCACATTTAGATGCGGTTGTTGCACAAAACTTTGGATTGGCTAAGTCTTGTCACAATGGTCATCAGTATTTTGATTTTCCAAGAATAGAGTTAAAAGAACAAATTTCCTTTTGTAGAATAGTTTGCTTACATATGTGCCTGTATGTTATGACATGAATTGTTAGTTAAACTGATGTAAGATTTTGGAAGGGGAGGGGAGGGTGAGGGTGAGAATGGGAATTTAACACCGGAAAGAAGAAAGATACTTATTCTCTGTGGTATTGTTGTTAGAATTAGAGAACAACAGTGCATGAACTCAAAGTCTCAAACTGTACTAACCTTACATGTAGTTAAGATACAAGTTTACAGGAAAACCAATGTTTATCTTTAATTAAACAGAAATTTAGACATGTTTATAGGTTGTTTTTTTATAAGGAGAAGAAGAACTCTGACTAAGATATGTATGATTTTTGTGGCAAGAATATGGCTCATACATGCATGCCTTATGGGTAAGAACGTACTTGGATATGTGTGAATGCAAAGCAATAAATCTGCTCAGTTTGGAAAAGGATGGTGTGAAGTTGTTGATATGTGCATTATCGTGTGTGCCTGTTTTACATACGTGGGTAGAAAGAGGGGAATCCTAACTTGGTCACACAGCTATCAAATAGGCTATTTCCGTAACGTATCCAAATTTAATGCATATACCGTACGTCTCTATGGAATGCCTAAATAGTAAATACAAAAAAATTCATTCACCTTTAATGAAAAATTGTATTTAAATAATCAGAATGCAAACTGCATGTAGTACATGTACTTGTCTTTAGGTGGAAAAAAAATTAGCAACAAATACTGTTTGCAATTTGAATTCTGACTATTGAGATACAGTTATTTGTACTGGGTGAATGAAATAATTTGTTTCACAAAGACGTATGCATTACATCTGGTTCCATTATGACAACAGCCCATTGTACAGTGACTAGCATACTTGGTTATAATGACTTTCAGCTATTTTGCTGTAGGGAGGTTCTGTGCAATTTGTCCAGTTCGACATACAACTGAAGTCCATTTATTTCATCCAAAAGTGAAAATCATTTGACATGATTATGGTTCTGTAATGTTTGTTTCTTGTATCACTTACATTATTCAATAATTAATTAGATTTTTCTTTTAATAGGCGTATGTTGTATCGGATGCATTGCACTAAATCGACCTCATGAGCACCGTAATTCACATATCTTTTGTAAGGAATGCAATAGAGAAAATTCTTTCAAAGTTTTAGTCCAGATTGTGTCATTGTATCAGTTATGTGATACAAATGACAATGTATGCAAAACGAAATCACAAGAAATGAAATTAGATCGTAATTAAAACATGTAGCATTATGATAACGAAGTCTTAGTCATGGGGAAAGTATGAATGTCTCTTCACTTTGGTTTAAATGAAGGGCAATCGTACTATGCACACAACATCATACCCTAACCCTAGAGCTTTGTTATTAATAAAAATCAGGTGAATCATATGGTATGTGTAATGAAATGGAGTTGGAACATAATTTAAATATGTACTTTCATTTCTTTTGCTACTTAGCATTTCAGAGAATGTGAGCTACATGTACATTTGCCTTTCATTTTAAGATGAATAAAAATGGATTAGAATGACTTTACACAATCATGGTTGTGTCATAATTGTTTGAATTCACAAAGATACTGTGACGCAGAAAACAGCAAATGAAATTTACAGAACAGGGTAAGAAGAATTTTGTTTATTAAAAAAAAAAAAGTATACAAATATACACTGTCTTGAGAGGTTCTAGTTAAAACAATGCGCAAGAGGTGACTCCAATAGTACTTTTTGCTGAGGGGCGCAGCAATGGTACTTCTGGAGTCACTGAGGCCCATAGTTTTAACCAGTACCTCAAATAAAAGGCATGGTATATTTGTTTTATATCCTCCATCAAAAATTTATTAAAACAAAAAAAATGTTTAAAAAAATTTAATTAAGATTTGAAAAAAAAAAAAAAATCAATTAAAAATTTCAACACCAAAACAGTACTCCCAAATAGTACTCTCATATAGTACCTTTTCAGAGCAACCTTACAATAGATGAAATATTTCTGGTCACGTGACGAGCTCTCAATCGATCAAAAGCCAATAAATTTTGGATGCATGATATGATTATAATTATTTGTTTTTCTTTTTTTGTGGATAATTCTAATAATTTTTTTGTTCTTTTTTGGTAAAATAGTTTTTTCTATATTTTTTTAAAACAGTTTAATGTTGTTGGGGTGGGGGGGGGGGGGGGGGGGGTAGTGAGCACATTTTTTTTTTTTTGATCCTCAAAAAAAATTCAATTTGCACCCCCCCCCCCCCCTTGAGCGCCAGGGGGGGGGGGGGGGGCCCAACCCCCCAAAAAAGTAAAAATCACGTGATTTTACATGATTTTTTTCTCAAGGGGGGGGGGGCCCCCCCTGGATCCGCCACTGTCAGAGATAATTAGGTTAGGTTTAAAAACTAATTTCCTCTTTTTCCCGTTTTGTCCAGTTGGATAATAAAAACAGAAATAGCTTTTATATATTTTTCACGGTGTTTGCGAACGTGTTTAATTTGTAACGATTTGAATAAATAAACACGATTCACATATAAATTGTTTGGACCTTCCGGCCTTTAAAAGAGCGTTAAACACTTCGATTGCTGTCCTTACCCTGTAGGGACTCTAGCTTTTGTCTGCATCTTCACACGAATATCTTGGTGTTATGGGCAGTGCTAATCTCTCCTAGAGTTCTCATGTTGATGCAATGACTGCTCATGTGAGTCATATAACTATATACTGTACACATAATGTATAACATAAGGAACCTTTCTCTTTAACTTCTATACAGTTACTTTCACAAAATGCATTCGTATATTACGAAAACTCAACTTGATGTTTAACGGAACATGTCATGCATGTTTTGTAGGACCATGGACGGTATGGACCTATTACCAGGGGCGTCGCTAGCCCTTTTTCAGTGGGGGGGGGGGGGGGGGTGTAGAGGCCAACGATTACCGACAAAACTAGCCACCAATTACCGACAAAATCAAATGTCCAATATCTACAAATTCAAACCCTATAAACCTGGGGCCGAAGGCTAAATTGTTTTTCCTATGGACTATCTATGGTACTTGCATATGCGCAAAATGTATATTTTCCTCGACGACGTAAATAAACGAATTATTTCTTCAATTTTGTCAGCATCATAGCTATATATTTTAATGCAGGCGCGGAGCTAGGATCTTATTTTGGGAGGGGCGGTAGTGAGCAAGAGAATCACTTAAAAGCGCGCTCATTAGGGGGGTGTGGGTGATGGGCCTGCCGCGCGAAGTGCTTAGACGTTTCCTTAAATTATTAGGAAAAGAAGACGATTAATTGTACCGTTTTAGACTGGTAATCCTTGGCTGAATGAAGTCCCCCCCCCCCCCTTCCCGCGCGAAGCGCGAAAGCTTTGACGTTTCATTAAATTATTATAAAAAAGAAGACGATTTGCTGTACCGTTCTCGACTGTTTATCCTTTTCTGAATTCAGTTCCCCCCTCCCGCGCAAAGCGCGGAAGCTTTGACGTTTCATTAAATTATGAGAAAAAGCAGACGATTCTGTGTACTGTTCTCGACTCTTAATCCTTATCTGAATGAAGCTTCCCCCGCCCGCGCGAAGCGCGGAAGTTTTGACGTTTCATTAATTTATGAGAAAAAGCAGACGATTCGGTGTACTGTTCTCGACACTTAATCCTTATCTGAATGAAGCTTCCCCCGCCCGCGCGAAGCGCGGAAGTTTTGACGTTTCATTAATTTATGAGAAAAAGAAGACGATTCGTCGTACCGTTATCGACTCTTAATAAGCCTTATTCATCTGAATTCAGTTTCCCCCTCTCTCGCGGGGCTCGAAAGCTTTGACGTTTCCTCATATCATTAGAGAAAGAACACGATTCGTTGTACCGTTTTCGACTCTAAATAAGCCCTATTAATTTTGTCTGCATTCAGTTTCCCCCTCTCGCGCGAAGCGCGGAAGTTTTGACGTTTCCTCATATCATTAGAGAAAGAACACGATTCGTTGTACCGCTTTTGACTCTAAATAAGCCCTATTAATTTTGTCTGAATTCAGTTTCCCCCTCTCACGCGAAGCGCGGAAGCTTTGACGTATCCTTAAATTATTAGAGAAAGAAGACGATTCGTTGTACCGTTCTCGACTCGACTAAATGAAGTTTCCCCTTCCACGCGAAGCGCGGAATTTTTGGCGTTTCATCACAATATAGAGAAAGGAAGACGATACATCGTACCGTTTTCGACTCTTATTAAGCCCTGTTCATCTGAATTCAGTTTCCCCCTCTCGCGCGAAGCGCGAAAGCTTTGACGTTTCCTCAAATTATTAGAGAAAGAACACGATTCGTTGTACCTTTTTCGACTCTAAATAAGCCCTATTAATTTTGTCTGAATTCAGTTTCCCCCGACGCTTTGACGTTTCCTTAAATTATTAGAGAAAGAAGACGATTCGTCGTACTGTTCTCGACTCGTCTAAAAGAAGTTTTCCCCTTCTGCGCGAAGCGCGGAATTTTTGGCGTTTCATCACAATATAGAGAAAGGAAGATGATTCCTCGTACCGTTTTCGAATCTTTTTAAGCCCTATTCATCTGAATTCAGTTCCCCCTCTCGCGCGAAGCGCGAAAGCTTTGACGTTTCCTCAAATTATTAGAGAAAGAACACGATTCGTTGTACCGTTTTCGACTCTAAATAAGCCCTATTAATCTTGTCTGAATTCAGTTTCCCCCGAAGCTTTGACGTTTCCTTAAATTATTAGAGAAAGAAGACGATTTGTCGTACCGTTCTCGACTCGTCTAAAAGAAGTTTTCCCCTTCTGCGCAAAGCGCGGAATTTTTGGCGTTTCATCACAATATAGAGAAAGGAAGACGATTCCTCGTACCGTTTTCGAATCTTTTTAAGCCCTATTCATCTTAATTCAGTTTCCCCCTCTCGCGCGAAGCGCGAAAGCTTTGACGTTTCCTCAAATTATTAGAGAAAGAACACGATTCGTTGTACCGTTTTCGACTTTTAATAAGCCCTATTTGTCTGAATTCAGTTTCCCACTCTCGCGCAAAGCGCGGAAGCTTTGACATTTCCTTAAATTATTAGAGAAAGAAGACGATTCGTTGTACCGTTCTCGACTCGTCTAAATGAAGTTTTCCCTGCCGCGCGAAGCGCGGAATTTTTTGGCGTTTCATCACAATATAAAGAAAGGAAAACGATTCGTCGTACCGTTGTTGACTCTTAAACCTTGTTTGAATTTAGTTTCCCCGAAAATTTTAAACCTCCGATTTCTTTAGCTGATATTATAGGAAAGTGAAACTTCGAGAAAATACAAGTATTGTAGTTGTAGTCACTCTCGAAGTCGTCACAGCGGATAAGAAGTCACAGTTCGTAGGGAAAAAAACTTGTCTGCCGACCGACAATATACATCTCACCGACTTCAAATTTCTACATTGATATAGTACACGAGGATCGAGCAAGAATACCGACACAGCTGACCCGACACAGCAAC